TCAGTGTGGTATGTCCTGACATGACATGTACGACTGCATGGTGACTGTATGACACCCTGCCTTCGTTTGTCATCTTCTGATGCCAAGCGACTCCTTCGGGAACGTGGCCCTACTCAGTCACTCTTAATCTACACTCCTGGTGATTTCAACACCTTCTGTGAAAATTCTGAATTCAACTTCCACAAAGCCACGGCTTTGTCTTGCCCTTGGCCCTGCCTCCACTTGCACCTCCATCTTCATCTGTCTCTCCATCATCGTTCGTCCTTGGCTTTCCATAGCCCTTGGCATCTTTCGAGCCTTTGCCCTTTCCTTTCCTCTCTTGAGCTACTTGCCATTCTTCTTCTTCTTCTTCTTCTTTCGACTTCGACTTGCCTTCTCCTTTCACTCCCTTCTGATTGCTGCGGCTTGGACTTGTTCTTGGGCTTTCAACCTCATAGTCTTCAAAGTCATCTTCTTCAGTGTTGTCTCTCTCTCTCTCTCTGTTAGATCATTGGGTCATCTGTACCCAACTCTATGTGGTACTCCTTCTGGACCATAGTTCACACTTACCCATCCATCTGGCCATCTTGACTCTTCTACCGGTCTTCGTGGCCTTCTCTGATATGGTAAATGTACTGCCTCATCGTCCAGAGATAGTTAATCACTCTCTTCCCCTCTCTTGGTCCTCCAGTCTGGATGTCCCGTTAGCACTTCACGAACTTCACGAATGTCTCAATGGCATCTTTGAGTGATTCATCGCTAGGGTCTTCCTCCTTCATCTGGCGGAAAACACGAAGTTTCTCCATCAAGTGAGTTTCAATGCCAGTTCCTTCTTTGATCAATTCGTACCTATAGTCTTCATACTCGGGATCAATCAAATGCATATAATGCCAATCATACTCATAGCTTCCTTCCAGACTACCATAGTCCGTTGGGGCTTCCGATGGGATGTACTGTAAGTCTCATTCGACTCAACTTCACCACCTTGCTCATCTTGCTGCCTCCCAAGAAAGGCTGCACTGAGTTGAAAGTTCTTCTTTCCACAACTGGACCGTCATCTGGACCTTGTACTGGTTGCGGATCTTGTGATCCTCTTGCTAGCTCTGCCTCTTCTTCTTCAGCTTCATGTTCTTCCTCCTCTTCGTCTTCGAGCCTCACCATTCTAATACGTGCGTGAAGCTGTCCAACTTCATGTAATCCTGGTGGATCTTCGTCTTGTTGCACTTCTTCCTCTTCTTCCCAACTTTCATTCCATCCTCTTGCATGCGGGGGCATAGTCGTCACAACTTGATTGAACGGGAGTCCTGAGCTTCCTGCGTAATTCACCCAGCCTCGTTGCATCCAATCAGCATTTGGGCTGATGTCTGGGAGGTTCGTGCACCCATAACCTGAATCGCTCTCACCCCCTTCATCGGCAACTTCACCATACCTCCTCCTCTCTTCGCTGTTCCATCTCATGGAGCTCCTCACGTAGTCCCACGAGTTTCGATGTTGTGAGAATTCCTTTGCCATCTTCCAGGGAATTTCCTGACAACATGCGCACGCCAGCAGTCAATGCAAGAATGATTAAACAAAGGATCATGATGATCACCTCAAGTCTGATCACTTCACCCCTACTGCTTTGTATGCTGGGCATTGCTTTCCTTCACCTTCGTCCCGAGCCTGACTCAAGGCTACATCTGCCAGCAATGCACCCAGTGTCAACCTTGTCAACTTCTTTGCAATCTGGCTTGCTGCTGTCGAACTGTGTGGAATGCTCTTCTTCTCCAACCATCCTTCTTACCACCTTCAACCTCTGTTTTGCTTCTAGCTTCTCCTTCTCTGTTGTGAACTCTTCTACACCAAGCTTGCCGTCATCGTCTTCAAAGCTCAACAAGTTGCACGCTTTCCTGGAAGGATCTTGGTTCCCAAATCTGCAGGATTCGTCAATGTGTCAATTCGGCGAAGACACAAATCTTTGCCCTGCCTTTGTTGGAGCCAAAGCAACCTCCCTGACAAGTGCTTGATCTTCCCAACTCCTTCTTTCTGAGCCGCAGCAATGCTTGATGAGTTGTCACCGTAGATCACTGGAGGTGAAGGAGTCCCAGACCAAAGAATGAAATATTTTAAATTCAGAGCTTACATATTAATAGATTGATGGCTTCCAGAAAAATGATAAAATACAATAATAGATGGCCCACTAACTCCCAGCCTTTAAATTTCAAGACTACAAATCATATGATAATAGAAAATAGAATAAAGAATTGTAAGAGAGACAGAGAGGAAATTATCAATAAAATAGAAGAAAGCTCTCCATAAAATTATCAGATAAAAAGATAAGAGAAATAGATAAAGGATGCCCATTACTTACAAAGAATAAAATAAGAAGTGAATAGGAAAAATGACGGCTCAGAAACTGGCTCAGAAATCTCTACCAAAATAGGACAAAGGGAAAAATATGTGCGTGCCTTCGACGCTCGCTGGCTTCCTCCCCGAAGTCGCTCTCCTTCCTGGCTTCTTCTCTTTCCTCTGCGCTGATCTCTGGAGCCACGGCCGGTGGTACAGGTACTGAAGGGAACTTTGCCATCAAAGCCGAAGCCTTTGCGCCAATTTGCCCAAACCCAATTGCCCATGGCCACCCCTTCACAAAGTGTAGTGCCTCGGCATCAAATGGGGTCGGCAATCTCCTTATGGTGCGAGTCCACTTCAGGCCCTTTGCTGTTGCCACCATGTGGAAGTCATCTCGATCTGTTTTGCCAAGCCAGCAACCAACTTCAAACTTGTCGTCTCCATTTGCTCCTCTGACCTTGGCCAAAACACGTTCTCCAAACATGGCAACTTTTCCTCCGTACTTTCTTCCACTTCTCATCTCATAAGCTGTTGGACCACCACCTTTCCTTCTATAGTGGGTCAACAACCATCCTGCATGGCGAAGTGCCCATAGGAAAATGCTGGATGATGGCTTGATGTTCACTTGGCACCCTTCTCTCACAGCTCTAACCAACATCTTTGCCAAACCTCGGAAAGTTTGAATCTCTCGTTCAACTCTTCCATTCCTCTGTGAGTCATGAGGGCCGCTGAGCTCTACGTTGTGTGGAACCCAAGTTTCAACCTGGCCTGGTGGATGATGTCAAGCAACATCCTCATTGAGGGTTCTCCATCACCCTTCAAGTTCACTCTGGAGTAGCCCAGGCTGCCAACGATCAGATCTCCTTGATACATCCTCAAGTCTTCCATTGTTTCTTCGTCAACCCCATCCTCTCCTTTCGTGAAACAAAAGTCCATCGAGATGGTAGGCATATCCGCTTTTCCTTCTTGCCTCATAGGGTTCTCGTCCTTGAAGCGTGGATCCTGTTTGCCTCTTGCTGCAACGCAATGCTCATACCAATCTTGGTACGGCCAGCGTGTCAACTCATGCGCCTGCCTCTCAGACTTGCTTGGGACCCGGGGGACAACCTGACCTCGAGCACTTTCTCCTTCATCAGCTTTGCTCTTTTGGAATCTTTCCTTGCCAACTCGGTGCTCAGGTTCTCTGCAAAATGAATGTAATAATGCACCAACTTTGCCCAAGCTTCTTGTTTGTTCTTGCCTCTGCCAAGACCGCACATCTTCAATCCTGCTCGTAGCTTTCGGAGTGGCGAAGTCTTTCTGTAGCTTTCTCCTTCAGCCTGAATCTCTATTTCTTCGTCAACATGCAGGTCCTGGTTCTCGTGGGAATGGATCGCCTTCGTCAACTTCTTGTTGCTCTCCCATTTCTTCCTCATCATCTTCTTCTTCATAAACTCCATCCTCAAGGCTTTGTACCTGCGACTTCCTTCTCACCTTTCTCTTTCTCTTCCATTGGCCTCTTGCCCAACTCAGGCCTCAACGCAATCGAATCTTCTGCAGGGATCACTGTTCCAATGTCCATGGATTCATCTGAAGACTGATGGAAGAAGCAAACAACCGTGGTCTCTTCCTCGCACTCTTCAATTCCTTCTTCATCCTGCGCCCTGCTTGCAATCTCCACCAGCTCCCATGAACTACCCTTCTTGATCACAACTGTCCTGCGCGGGAAACCTACCCTGTTGAACTGTGGGTAGCTGTCTTTCTTGGGCTTACTGTTCAAACACACCAAGAAAGGGATGCGTCTGCTCGGTGACAGATGCCATCCAGCCACCTCACTGCGACAGTTCTCACCTGCTCTCTACTCTTAGCTTGTTTGACTTCTCTCTTTGGCTTCTCCTCTTGGCGTTTCTGATCTTCGCCTCAGTGACCAACGAGTTGTGCCTGAAACCCAGCCGCTTGCGGAACAGACCATGCGTCAGCCTCACATTGTCATTCTCACCTTCTAACTTCCAACCTTTCCTCAACAGCGCCAACAAAGGTTCAGAGACGTTCGACAAAGCAAAACTCTCTCGAAGTTGTACCTGGTGACCATCCTCACCTTCTAGCACAATCAACGCTTGGGGCATCGCGCCGCCCCCCATGATGTTTCCTTGGGCATCTCTCAACACGCTCTTCCTGGTCAAGGGAATCCCTATGTCTGCATAGGCCATAGGTAGCACAGAGACATCTGCACCTGTGTCACGGAACTCTGCAATCCTCTGCTTGTGCAACACCTCCCACGAAGCATCGATCCGACGGCCTTGAACCATCTCCCACCAAGTCCATGTAGTGGTCAAACTTGGCTTCACTTCCATCTTCTTTGTCTTCCTCGAAGATCACCCACATCTCCACCCTTCGAACAGTACCTGTCGTGAAAGTGGCGTCGCTCTTCGTGGCACTTGACTGCTTGCTCACAGTGCTCGCTGCTCCTGAAGTGTGGTGCTGTTGGAGTCAGACACCTGGAGGAAATGACCTTTTTCTCCACAGAGCTTGCAAACATCTTTAGCTAGCCCTTTCTTTCCCTTTCCATCATCCTTGCCACTCTTTGAGCCCTTTGTGCTCTTTGCCTTGCCTTTGCCCTTGTCATAGGCAG